TCCCATGTACCAGCCCCCAAGGCCCTTCCCCGGATTTCAGTGCTGTCAGGATAAACCAAGCCCTTGCCGACAAGCCCCACTGTACCCTCGACCTTCTCTTGTCCCTTCCCTGTGAGTCGGAGTTGACTCAGTGCCACGTAACAACACAACAGATGGCAGAAACTCAAGTTGTGGGAGCGCAAGTGGGTGACTGAATCAACAGATAAGTTAGTCTAAAATCCCTGTGTTCACCCCTGTTCTCCCCATGTCTCCTGCCTTCCTCTTGCAGCACCCTGTCAGAAACCTGGAAATCACTCCAGGCTTCTTTCATCTCGTCTAGTCTATTTCCATCCCAGAAGTGGTCTGTTTCCACTCCTGGCTGCCTAACTGCTCTCTTTTGTAGAAGATTGCAGGCATCCCGAGTCAAGGGCCTCGACTGACCACTGCCATGCCCCTCCATGGGAGCATTTCCAGGCAGGCCCCAATAGGACTTCGCTGGGCTGCACTTCAGAGAGAACTCTGGTTTCTTATAAATGAAAGCTTTGTGATAACGCTGCATCAAACTGGCCTGCCAGCACTGTCGCCCAGCATTTCTGTGGGCTCACTGCTTGTTCTCTGTCATATTTTGGTCATTCTCAAAATGTTTCAAAGCATTTTCAGAGTACTTTTATACTCTCTATAGGTGTCAGTTTTCTATTGACTGTGCAATCAAAATAGTCATGTGATTTGCTTTGTTGGGATATTTCCATCATTAACTGATCTAGAACCAAACCCGAAATGTCTGAGGTATACTTGTTTATGTATTATGCAAAACTAACTTCCTCTCTCTCTTCTCGCACTCTTTCACTTGTCTGGACTAATAATGACAACCGAGGATGTGACCCTTTGGTTTTTCTGGAAACTGTGAAATATGTTGACAGCAGAAAATGGGTGAAGGAAATTAGAGGGGCTGTTGTCTCCTTTACACTGAAAACACAGTGCACGACTTGTCAGGCTGCTAACGGAGAGGTCAGTGGGCCACAGCTTCCTGCCCCTCCTCAGAAGAAAGATGACCCACCTCTTATAAGAACTTATAGGGATAGACTCAAAGTGGTGGATTTGGTTTGGTGTGATTTCACAAAGTCAAGTCCTGAATGAACAGTTGTACCTTCATGCTTTCCAAGAACTAAGGGACATCAGGAAGCCAGATTTGTTTCACTCAGGGAGAAAATTCACAAAGTACGAAGGGTTGCAAAGGAGAGGGGCTGGATGGAAAAGGGAATCACAGGGAGAAAGTGAGAAGAGTGGCTCCTATGATGTCTCCAGTGTGAATTGGTGATTGGAACTATAATAAATAACTTTACAAAAATAAAAAGGGTTGTGCAGCAATGAATGAATGAATGGAAATCCAAATTCTCTGTAAATGTTCATTAAAATTATTTAAAAAAAAATTAAAAAGGGTTCTCCAGGAGTCTCCGAGGGGTCACAAGTTGCAGTGCCCAGCAGGCTCTTCCTCCCTGGTGGAGGAGGAGAGCCTTCTCTTTATCATTGCCTGTGGTCAGAACCCAGAACTATGGTGGGGACTCTAGGCCACCCTCTCATTTGGACTCTCCTGGTCAGCATGTGCTCAGCCTCCCAGAATAGTCCTACATACTGTCCCATATCCTCACTGGGAGGAATGGAATTGTCTTCAAGAGAAACCAACATTCAAGAACATTCTCCTGCTTCGCATCATTTAGGTGTGTGTGAATTTAGGACAGACCATCCCGGGCAGAGACTGTTGAAGCTGACTCAGACACTCTGTGTGTGGGAGCAGGTCTGCCTGCACCAACAACCGCAGGAGCCCCCAGGAGGACTCGATCTGGCGTGGCTTTTCTCATGTGTCTCACTATCGAGCTTCCACCAAAGCAAACTCAGTACTGTTGTCAGGGCCCACTAGGAGAGCTCTGCCCCACCTGGTTTCTGTGCTGCCATCATTACAGGCGCTGACTGCCACATCTTTCTCCCACGAAACAACTGATAGGTTTGAACCTTGAGCGTTTAAGTTAGCTGTAAGAGCTCAAACAGTGTGCCACCAGAGCCCCTTGTCTAGCAGTTTGTTTCTTTTCTTTATGTATAATAAAGTTTTTTAATTGTGATTCTAATGAAAGTTTACAGACAAGTTGGATTTTTGTTCATTCATTGTTCAAAAAGCTATGGATTGCTTCGTGAATTGCATGTTACCCTTGCACAGGGGCCATGCTAATCTTCTCTGTTTAGTTCCAGTTTTAATATTTGTACTGCCAAAGCCAGCCCGCAGTAGTCTTTTCAAAAGGCGTTTTTGTTTTCTTGGTCGGGTAGGTGGAGAACCACAGCTGAAATCCATGTCTTGGCCTGCTCTGGAGTCGAACTGCCGCTAAAAGAGCACAGAGGTTCTTTGGTGACCCATCCCCAGCCTGGCTGGGCCGCTTGCCCTTGTGGCCTTGTGTCCCACCTAGAATATGTGCTCTTCCCTCCTGAGAGGGCTTCATGAATTCATAACTGGGGTTTGCCAGGAATGCTGCAAAACCCACAATAAATGCTACCGCTTGTTTTCCACTGTTTTTCCAGGGAGCGGCTACGGCATTGTTGTGCCGGTTACACTTTAATACCAGCTCATCTATTCTCCAGCTGTTGTTTACCCTCCAGTTCCCCAGAATACTCAGGCACAAGGTTTTTTAAACACGAGTTTTATGCTGCTGTACGTTAGATGGGTGAGAGTTCTGTCCACTGCTAACCTAGTCTGTGCTTACTGGCTTACTAGGTGTAGGTGACCAGCTGAAGACCATCCATGTCACTTAAGACAGCACTTTATGACGGCACCACCTGTTGATCAGAGCCTTTGACAGCATCCCACCTCACTTTGTGTGATTTCCCCCCCCGGGCAGCTTGCTTCATTTTGCTCTCTTAAATATTATTTGTTTTTTGCTTAGATAGCACATTTGTATAAAATTAAAAAGGTCTCTTCTCCTTTCCTTTTTGCCGCCCAGGGTAAGTTTTCTTCTTAGGTGTGATTCATACATGAGTATATTTTTACATGCACACATGTCGGCATAGAAATTACCACATACTCTTCATACCATTCGGTGCTTTGTTAAAGTCTTCCTGACAGTTTAAAAAATTCTAGAACACACTCTGAAGAACTGTCTTGGTCTTGTAAATTATTCATTTCATTGTCTAGAGGGACAGATGTCTTTTAGTCTTTTTGTATTAAACAGTTACCTGGTACACCTATCGTCTTTTGTGTGAGATTACAGCTGTAGCGTGATGTGAAGCCAGTTTGTGTCTGGGCGCCATCCCTTTGGAGTCCCAGACACTGCATCTCCAGCAGATCCAAACCTTGCTTGATCCCGCGCCATCGCGCTTCCCTCTGCTCTGGCAGTCCACTTCTTGGAGGAGCTTCCTCTCTTTGCCCTCTGGTACTGTAAGCTTGATGTCTTTTCCCAAAAACTCATTCTTCCTGTAATAACGCACCCAAAGTGTGCAAAAGAGTGTCTCACCGTCCTTGCTTCTAAAGCGCTCTGGCTGCTTTTCTTCCAAGACAGATTGGTGTGCTCTTTGAGCAGCCGGGGTATGCTCAAGTATTCTTCAGCAGCACTCCAGCTTCCTGGGGAATAGTCCTGAGCATTTGCTGGTGATAACTATCCAGCCTGACTCCTGCTGAGTGCCAGACTCTCAGGCCTCACACCCAGTTCTGCCTGTGGTTCAGCACCGCCCTATCAAATCTTGAGTTCATCACCCCCGTGTCACCTTTCTCTTTGATTGACACACCAGAAACCTAGGCTTCATCCTTGACGCTTTAGCACCCCTGACACTCGTGTTCCTCTGATAGCTACACACACTGGCCCAGTTGTATGTCCTTGACTCTTCACCTGCTCGTGCACCTCCCTCATCCAGGCCTTCGAATCCCTCTACCCGAGGACTCCGATGGTCTCCTAACTACTTATCCTCCTTGCTCTTCCCTCCCACCCTGCTGTTTCCCACACAGAATAAGAGTTTAGAATCACAGATCTAATCCTGTCACTTCCATGATTAAAACCTGGCATTCCCAAGATCGAGAACAGACTCTAAGGATTGTGCTGCACAAGGACCCCCATGGACTGTCCAGTCACAGAACTCCACTCCTGACCGTCTGTCTGGAACCTGTCCTCTCTCCCTGACACTTCTTTCAGCATCCATCGTCACCATCTGTGCAGACCACACTGGGCCCCATTACAGGGCATGACACCCTTTCACACGTCATTGCCCTTAGGGATGGTGATCCCCATTCCTGGCTGTGGTTATTGGGTTTGAGGGTCTCTCCTTCTATGGTCCAGGAGTTCCGTTAGGACCAGAGGACAAGAGATGTTGTTCTCACTGACGAACCTTAACCCCTGACATCATGGCTGGTATGTGGTAGATGTTCAGTTAATGCTGGTTCTTGAAGAGAAGTAAGTTCTGGCACATATGAGCATATTTTACAAATTTCGAACAGTCCTACTTATAAATGCAGGGATTTATTTTTTTTTAAATCCTTGTTTGTAAATGAAATTAAGCTCTGGAGGGTGGTATCTGTGTGTATGAGTGAGTGACTAGACCACGCCTCCCTTAACCAGTGAGCCCTGTCTAACCCGGGTATAGCTTAGGTCAACAGAAGGATCTGCTTTGTATCAGGCCCGACACTAAATGTTATGGGAACTGTAGATATTAGTTCCTGGCCTCATACAGTTTACAGTATTTATATTCAAAATCTGAAGATCACTTTGAGTCTGCCTCGTATAACTTTTTCAGATGGTTCAGTTATTTTGGAAAATCTGGTACAATTGGAGATGGGTAGGTCTCTTCTCATCATCTGTGCAGAGAAAATAACCCTGTTGCTTCTGGTCCTTTTCACTTCTTCCATGGAGCAGTCTTTAGAAACCTCCCTGCTGAGGGGAAGAGTAAATGTCTGAGTACTTCATCTCTCATTGTTCTTTTGACTGAACAGAAGCTTATGTGATGTCCACTCACCAAAATCTGCCTTTGTGTCTCTTCTTTGTTCCCAGGAAACCTGTAGGAAGTGTCAAGGCCTCTGGAAAGAACACAATGGCCTCACCTGTGAAGAGCTGGCTGAGAAAGATGACATCAAGTACCGAACGTCTGTGTGAGTAACACCCTTCCAAGGAGCTTTCCAGAGGCTTCTCAGCTTCCAAGTCAGCCTAGTCCTTGGGGCAGAGAGGCAGTGTGTATTGTTGGGAGAACAGGCTCTGTAGTCACCCCAGTCTGGAGTGATCTGTAATCTTGAGGAAGTGACCTGGTCCGGGAGCCCATCTCCTTGTCTCTGCAGCCTCTCGGAGCTCTGCCAAGTGGCAAAGGTAACTTATGTAAATGCCTGGCACGTAAGAACCAGTAGAGGTTGCCCTCCACCCCTTCCCTTATTGTCTGGCTGAATAAGCAGATGACACATTTTAATTAGGATACAGATGGCATGTGGTATTACTTGAAATTAGCAGCCCCTAGATTGAAAAACACTCTCCTAAGAGGCATTACTTCTCTGACCCTCACTTTGTGGCCGAGTGCTTTATAAAAACAGGCTACTCAAGTTCATTGCACTTCCCGAATTGTCTTTATTTTACACATGGACGTTTGGGACAACCTTGCCCTGAGCAGGATTGTCAGCGCCTTTTCTCCCTGCAGCATGTGCTCACTCAAAGCTCTGTCCCATTTTGGTCATTTTCATCATGTTTCAAACTTCTCCACAGTGTGAGCACTGAAACCGTACAGCCAGTGAGTTCAGCTTTATTGTAGTGGCCTTGAACTGAACCTGCACTCTCTCCAAGATCTGCCTGCAATCACTCACTATTGTTTGAGTTAAAGTGAAGCTGGTATAAAAGGAAATCCCAGAAGTACAGTGGCTTCAGTGCTGCAGAAGTTGGTTTCATTCTTGTAAAATAGCCTGGGCTTGTTGGACTCATCACAGGGCACATCTGTCTCATGAGGTCATTCAGGGACCCAGGATCCTTTTCACTGACTCACTGTACTCCAGGGTGTGGCCCTCATCTCCATGCTTGTGGCTGGGTTATAGCCACATTCACCCTCCGGCCCCTAGTAAAGCAGAAAGACGTACCCAGGACCGGGGCAGACAACTTTCCTTTAGGTTGTACGCAGCCAGAAATCAAAGCCATCACTCTCTTTGCTCATGCCCTTTGGTCTTCATGTCTTCAGGTCAGCCCCTGGCTCCGTGGCAGCTTCAGCCTTCCAGTATCTACTGAGTCTTGCAGCATGCACTTAACCTTTACCTGGTATAGCCTGCAACTCACCGCTGACACCAGACCCCTAGAACTTCATAGAGATCTGTCTTTCCAAGTATTTTTCTCCCACCTGCTGCTTCCAGGAGTATTTCAACAAGATGGACTGACACAGTAACAGCACTGATGGGCTTAAGCATAATAGTGATTTTGAGGCAGGTACAGCATAGGGTTACTTTGAGTCTAGGTCACTTTGACAACATGTAACAATTCACCAGGCTTATCTGCATATGTTTAACATAGCAGACCAGTGTGTTGTCCTGTCCAATTACAGATGATCAAGGTCTTTGTAAACCGCTACTGGTATCCTCTGCTTATTGGACAAAGAGTAAAACCATTTTCCAGATCAGTAGCTGTGTACCAGTTGCCAGGGGCTGTGTTTATCTGCTCTGGTAAGAAAGGACATCTGGAACAACAGCTGCAGTTGGTGTCTGCACCAGTGAGATAGTGAACTATTCTTCTTCAAGACCCAGTCTCTCTGCATGCCAGACAGGAAGCTAAAGGAGCTGTGTAGGAATTACACCTCTGCATCTGTGGGGTCTTTGATCACAGAGATCACCAACAAGAACCTGGCCTTGTGTTTTCTTTCTCTGAGGAAGGGATGGTCTGGGCTTTGCTTCCCCCACCTTCTATCCCCTCACTGCACAGATCAGCAAGCTCAGAAACCCCACCAGTCACCATGTGTCAAAGCAGGGTGCAGCAGGGTACACAGAGGCAGTTATAAGCCATGTGTCACTGATTCCTGAAATACAACATTTTGAGAGATACCAAAGGCAGAATCTTAGTGCCTTGAATGGCATGTTAAGAAAATCTACTTCATCCTGTCAGTAGAGAAAAGCCATTGCAGTTTCTTTCTTTGGTTTTCTTACTTTTTTCCCAGAAGTAAACCCATATGTCTCTGCTAAATTGATTTTCTACAAGTGATACTGTTGTTGTTGTTGTTGTTGTTGTTGTTGTTATGTGCCGTCGAGTCACCTGCAACTCATAGCGACCCTATGTACAACAGCCCTAAACTCCGCT